GCAGATGCTGCTTTCCTGGTGGATCATATGGCTCCAGAGAAGCCGGTGGCCATTTGTCTGTATGTGCACAGCCCTCTCCTTCCTGCATGTAGAAAAGTCAAAGTGAACTAAGTCACCAGGCAGGCAGAAAGCCTGAGCACAACTGAGAAAGTGAGACTGGGCCTCTTCACTACTGAAATCACACAGTTCTGTTGGCCCCACAGCTGGCTCCGACTCTTGAGAGGCTGCCCTGTGAGACGATACTTTCTGTAATACTGCTCAGACTAGTTTGAGTTAGATTTAGATCAACGGGCCCAGAAAAGCCTCGAATGCTTAGAATGAAGCATTACTTGCTTCATGCGTGTCAATTTTGTTTTCTCATTTACACATTTACCTTTTTGAGGCCAGAGTTCATGCCATCGTTCTGTGAATGTCCTCCTATGTATATGACAGTAATAGGTTAATTGGACGAGCTCCAAAATTGTTTTTTGTTGATTTATTTTATTTAGTTGAAAGACAGAGAAAGAGAGAATATATATATATATATATATATAGAGAGAGAGAGAGAGAGAGAGAGCAAGATCCCCCATCTGCTATTTTACTCTCCAAATGGTCTCAACAGCGGGGGCTGGACCAGGATGAAGCCTGGAGCCAGAAACACAAGCTGGGTCTCCCAAGTGGGTGTCAAGGACCCAATCACTTGGACTGTTATCTGCTACCTCCCAAGGTGTACATAAGCAAGAATCTGGATTTGGGAACGGAGCCAGGACTCAAACTCTGGCATTGCACTGAGATGTTGGCATTCCAAGCAATGTGTTAACTGCTGCAGCAAGTGCTCACACCTCCAAAAATACTATCTGATTTATATGCCCTCCTTTACAGGTCATTGGATAAAAATAAATATAAATGAAACAACAGTTATACCCATGCATTTTTGGCTTTCAGATTTTTCTTGACTCTGTTAATAAAATCTCTATTTACTTTCCTTTTTTTAGAAAGCTCTTGTTTAATAAATATAAATTTCATAGGTACAGCTTTTGGAATATAGTGGTTCTTCCCCCCATCCCCACCCTCCCACCAACTCAAAACCATCCCACCTCCTACTCCCTCTCCCATCCCATTCTTCATTAGGATTCATTTTTAATTATCTTTATATACAGAAAACCAAGTCTATACTAAGTAAATATTTCAACAATTTGCATACACACAGACACACAAAGTATAAAGTACTGTTTGAAGACAAGTTTTACCATTAATTCTCATGGTACAACATGTTAAGGACAGAGGTCCTACATGGGGAGCAAGTGCACTCTGACTGCTATTGTTGATTTAACAATTGACACTCTTATTTATGACGTCAGTTATCACTCGAGGCTCTTGTCATGAGCTGCCAAGGCTATGGAAGCCTTATGAGTCCACAACTTTATTTTCTAATTGTGGAGCTTGCATAAGTTCGGAACTATTGTAAGATGGAGGACTTGGAGCTGACATTGTGGCGTACTGGGTTAAGCCGTTGCAATGCCAGCATCCCATATGGGTGTCAGTTTGTGTCCGGGCTGTTCTGCTCAATCAAGCTCCATGCTAATCGTCTGAGAAAGCAGCAAAAGATGGCCCAAGTACTTACACCCTTGCCACCCACATGGGAGACCTGGATGAAGCTCCTGGCTCCTGGCTTCAGCTTGGACCAGCCCTGGTTGTTGCAACTATTGGGGTGTGAACCAGTGGATGAAAAGTCTCTCTGTGTGTATGTGTGTGCCCCTCTCTCTTTAACTCTGCCTTTTATTTTATTTTATTTAATGAACATAAATTTCCAAAGTACAGCTTATGGGTTACAATAGCTCCCCCCCCCCGTAACTTCCCTCCCACCCACAACACTCCCCTCTCCCACTCCCTCTCTCCTTCCATTCACATCGATTAATTTTCAATTATCTTTATATACAGAAGATCAATTTAGCATATATTAAGTAAAGATTTCAACAGTTTGCACCCACACAGAAACACAAAGTGTAAAATACTATTTGAGTACTAGTTATAGCATTAATTAAACACTTAAGAGTAATTGTGTATTAATTACAGAGTTCAACCAATGGTTTTAAGTAGAACATAAAAAATGCTAAAAGGGTAAAGTATTAAGTTCCTTTTTTTCTTTTTATTTTTTTGGTTATATAGTTATTTTTTTATTTAATAAATGTGAATCTACAAAGTGCAACTTGTGTATTGTTGTGGCTTCCCTCCCACAACCTCCCTCCCTCCCGTGGCCCTCCCCTCTCCCACTCCCTCTCCCATCCCGCCCTTCATTGAGTTTCATTTTCAATTACCTTCATATACTGAAGATCAACTTAGTATATACTAAGCAAGGATTTCAACAGGCTGCACTCACACAACCGCACAAGGTATAGGGTATTATTCGACTAGTAGTGTTGTTTTTAAGTTTCATAGTAAAACATATTAAGGACAGAGATCCTATGTGGGGAGCATGTACCCAGTGACTCCCATTGTTAACAATTGGCACTCTTATTTATGGCGTCAGCAATCACCCGAGACTCTTGCTATGAGCTGTCTAGGCTATGGAAGCCCCTTGAGTTCACCGACTCTGAATTTGTTTAGTCAAGGCCGTATCACAGTGGAGGTTCCTTCCTCCCTTCAGAGAAAGGCGCCTCTCTCCTTGATGGCCTGTTCCTTCTTCTGGGGTCTTGTTCACCAGGATCTTTCATTTAGATTGTTTTTTGCCACCGTGTCATGGCTTTCCATGCCTGTGAGACTCTCATGGACCTTTTAGCCATATCCGAATGTCCCAAGGGTTGATTCTGAGGCAGGAGTGCTGCCATTCTAGATAACTCTGCCTTTTAAATAAGTAAATAAATTTTTTTTTTAAAAAATGACATAAAAGGCTGGCGCCGCGGCTCACTTGGCTAATCCTCTGCCTGCGGCACCGGTACCCCGGGTTCTAGTTCCGGTTGGGGCGCCGGATTCTGTCCTGGTTGCTCCTCTTCCAGTCCAGCTCTCTGCTGTGGCCTGGGAGGGCAATGGAGGATGGCCCGAGCGCTTGGGTCCTGCACCCGCATGGGAGACCAGGAGAAAGCACCTGACTCCTGGCTTTGGATCAGCGTGGTGCGCTGGCCACAGCAGCCATTTGGTGGGTGAACCAATGGAAAAAGGAAGACCTTTCTCTCTGTCTCTCTCTCTCTCACTAACTCTGCCTGCCCCCCCAAAAAAAGAAGTAATAAGAAACTTATAAAAATATGGAGGTTTTAAGTTTATCATACGTGCTTCTGGAGTGTCAGGAGCACCAGAACAAGAAAGAGGCATTTTTTATGACTAAGAATAATAATTTTAAAAGATAATTTTTTAAAAAGGAATGCATGATAACCACAGAGAAACAACAAATATTAACTTTTGGAAAACCTTTTTACTTTTCTTATCACTTTTGTTCTTACAAAGTTAAGATTTGTGTGTGTGTGTATTTTCCTCCTTACCTGTGTACCGCGGCCATAATGCATAAATATGACAGCCAAGAGATAAAGAAAAAGTTCCTGACAAATGGAACAGATGCACCGGCTAACTGGATAAAGAACAGTGTTCTTTTAAATCAGAACTCCTTAGGGAAGAAATAATTTCATTCATTTAAGGACAATGTTCCCAAGCTAATTAATGTATTTAACAAGGTCCCAGAATCTCAAATCAGTGTCTTTTTCCAGCTTGGGTTCTGACTGCTACATGCCAGGCAGCTTTAGGTACCTTACATACATTAACTAGTGTAACTAGTGCATTAACTAGTGTAATTCTCCAACAGTCCTGTGGGAGGAGTGTGTGGTAAGCAGTGTTCTAGAGATGCTGCCCCTCCTAAAGATTCTCATCCTTAGATAATTCAAGGAAACACTAATTTGGGTACTTCTCTGAAGGGACTTTGCAGATACGACTAAGTACTTTAAAAAGAGGGAGGTTATTCTGGCTTATTTGATTATGCTTGATCTAACCCTTTGATCCCTACAGCACAGAGAACTTGCTCAGGAGTCAGAGAGATGCAGCTAAAGAAGGCACTGGAGAGGACGATGCAGAAGTGGACATTAGAGGGAGCTCAAGTGTGAAAGGACTTGACTTGTCACTGCTGGCATTTATGGAGGCCGCAATCCAAGAAATGCAGGTGGTCTTTAGAGCCTGAGAATCACCATGTAAGACCATCAAGGAAAACGGGAACTGCTCAGAACTGAGTTCTGCCCACGACTTGAATGAGCCTCACAGCAGGTTCTCCTTCAGAGCTTCCAGTAGGGAATGGATAGTCCTGTGTCACTTTACCCCTGCAGGTCTAGATAATAGGCTCGAGAGATACAACCACTCCATTCAGCAGCAGCTCCTGATTAGGTTCTGGTTGTGGGTGGAATAGGAAGATTTTCAAGAATATTGTTGAAACAATTGGAGTACTTTTAACTTGACCTATTTATTAGGTAATCGTATTTTATCAGTGTTAAATTTCCTGCGTGTGGTTGAGGTGGCGATGTGGGATAATGTCTTTGGTCTGAGGAGATCGGTGCTCAAGTATTTAGGGATGAAGTATCATCATTACTATGTACGGAGGCAGAAATAAAGCAAATGTGTATAAAGGCTCATAACTGGGGAATCTAAATGAAGTGGTGTTCACTGAACTATTTTTTTCATCTTTCAATATATTTTTTTGTTTTTCAAAAAGCTGGGGAAAAAAAGTTTCCCTCTGCATATTCTGTGAAGAATGGATTTGCGAGTGGGAAGTCAGGAAGGAACTGCTAAGGTCGAGGGTTGGAATGGGAATAGACCCCAACCCTCTTCAAACACACAAGCCAGTAAAGTAAATCCAAGCGACGAAACCTCATCACGCAACTACAGCTCGCACAGGCATCTGTCTCACAGAGATAAGGTCCACGGGAGGACCTCTGGTCTCCAAGTTGCTTTCAAACTCGGTCAGGATCAACTACTCCTGCAGGCACAGTCTGCGCATGCTCAGAGTCTAGCCCGTGGGCCCTCCCAGACTGGAAGAGCCCACCTTTGCAGCCTACGATGGGGGAGGCAGCAGCATAAATTAAATAAGCCTTCCCTTCGCAAGACATCTTCCAAATCTACGGCCTTTTTAGCTCTACTTGTAATTACTTTGTTTCCATTTCTCTCCTTAGAACTGTGCTAATTGAGATAAAAGATGAGTTACGCATAGCTGTCGGTCTCCGCCTCCCCACTACGTCCACTGCGTGCGCCGGGCCATGAACATCAGGAAGAGGAAGCGGAAGTGTTAGCCGGGGGGCGGGGGTCCGGCGGTGTCCGCGCCGCGAGCCCTGGAATCCTGCCATGGAGGGGTCCAGCGAGCCGGTGCTGGATGCCAGCTCCAAAGTAAGTTCCGGCCGGGAAGGCGAGACGACAGAGGAGCTCTGGAGCGAGATCTGTCCCTAAATTGAGTTTTTTTTTTTTCTTCCGTTTCAGGTTACCGACCAGGTGAGTGAGTGGCCGCCCCGTCCTGTCGTCAGCCGGCCTCCCGTGGGCAGGGGGCGGGCCGCAGCACCGAGCCCGCCTCGCCGCCGGCGGACGGTGCCTCACCCAAGTCTGTGAGCCGGTGACCTTTAACCCGCCTTCCTGCCTGCTCTTTCCCCTTGCACCTGACGTGGTATCCGCTGCCACTGTGGTTTAAGCTCCGCCACCCACCCCATCCCGAAGAACTAGAGTAGGAGATACCCTACAGCAAAAGGGCTGAGATAAGAAATCTTGAGAATACAGAGTTTGAGAGAAGTCAGTTGGCTACTCTCTCTCATTTGCTTCCAACTGATCTTGCTCTTGCTTTTGAGGATACTGGAAGGTAGCAGAATGCAGGGAGATAGTAACACTTGCACTACCTGATTTGCTGTTGCCCGAGTTAGTGTATTTTTAAAATGTATTTCTTTGAGAGACAGAAGCCCATCTGCTGATTCACTCCCTCTGTGCCTTTAACTGCAAGGATGGCTGGGCCTGGATTGAAGCCAGATGTTCCTTGTTGGTAGCAGGACCCCAGTTACTTGAGTCAGCACCGCTGCCTCCCAGGGTTTGCATTCACAGGAGTATGGAGTCAGGAGCCAGAGTCTGGAATCGAACCCATGTACTCCAATATGGGATGCAGTCATCTTAACTGCTAGGTTAAATGCCCACTCTGATTTAGTGCAGTTTGATTTAATTTCTTAGAACTCATTTTCTCCATGCACTTACATCAAATCATGTGTAATCCTAAAACCAAAAATCCCAAAATCAAATTATACTAGATCAGGGGTTTGGGGAGCTGGCATTGTGGTATAGCAGGTTAAGCTTCAGCACCAGCATTCCATACGAGTGCTGGTTAGAGTCCTGGCTTTTCCAGTTCCAGTCCCACTCCCTGCCAGTGTACCTGGGAATGCAGTGGAAGATGGCCCACGTATGTGGACCCTGGCCACTTACATGGGAGACGCAAATGGAGTCAGAAGTCCAAATCCAATCTTCCTGTGCTTGTGGTGAGGCCAAGTTCTTTTTGGCATTTTTAGGAAATGACCTGTTTCTTTATCTTCTGCTCTTAGAGGCTTCTGAATTCTTGGCTGTGGCTGCTACTTCTGTTTTCGAAGCACATCATGCCAATCCCTGCTTCTGTAGTCACGTTGCCTTCTCTGATGTTCCCTCGTGATTCCATTGGATCCACCTGGATCATCCAGGAGACGCTTCTCTTAATATCCTTACTTTTGTCACATCGACAAAGTCCATTTTGTCACATAAGGTAGCATAGTCACAGTGTTTGGGAATTAGGGCATAGACAGATTTGCAGAACCCTCATTTAGCCTACTACACATGCCTTCCATGCAATGATTCCCTCAGAGGTTTTATGATAGTTTACATGAGAAAAGCCACAATAATTTATAAACAGACTGTTAAATTAGCCTGAGGGCTTAGCAGTTGCATGTCTACAGTTCAGGCACAGAGTTGGAAAATATAATTTTTAAAAAGATGACATTTACAATATTAAATAAATTACAGTGTACCTTGTGATAAATTAACAAAAAAGGGACAGATGTTTAGCCTAGTAAATAAGATGCTGGTTGAGACATTTGTGACCCACGTCAGTGTACTTGGGTTTGATTTGCAGCTCTGGCTCCAAACTCCAGCTACCCGCTCTTGCAGACTCTCCGAGGCCGAGGTGATGGTTCAAGTAATTGGATTCCTGCTGTCAACCTGGGAGAACTGAATTGTGTTCCCAATTCTTGACTTTGGCCGTGGCCATAGCAAGCATTTAGGGACCTCTGTCTACCTCTCAAAAAACAAAAAAAACAAATAAACTAAAGATGTTTAAAACTTTTATGAATAAAATTATTAAAAAAATTATAGACTTCTAATTTCTGGTCGAACACAAAAGGAGTTTGGAAGTCATCACTGTTCAATCAAGAAGTAAAAGCTGAACAAACTGAAAAAATGACTATTTTTGGATCTGTCAGAGAATTGAGGTCATAGAGCAAACCTCTGTTCCCTGAATCAGAAACAGGCCTAAGAGTACAGAGAATCACCATTTACCAAGGAGAAGCTCTGCAGAAACCAGTGCCTGAAGTTCAGCTGACAAATCGCTGTAGGCCCAGTGTGGATGAGTCTGAGAATTAAAAAAGCGGAGGGACCCCCCATGCTTTTGTGAGCTTCACCTAAAGAATGTGTTGAGGACTGTTAATAAGAGCAAAGTCTGAGAAAGTTTGGACTTTTTCTAGGAAAATTAGCTAAGTTGTATTCGTAAGAACCAGTCGTGGTTCTGGAATTTAGACTTTTTCAAAGCTTTTTCTTATGAAGTATGATCTGCTTAATCTCAGCTCTACTCTCTTTAAAAAGTTACTGAGATTCCGTTTGCTACCACCTGGTCCAAGCCGCTATCCCATTTTCTAGGCTGCTACAATAGCCTCTCAGCTGGGTCTCCTGCTTTCTCTGTTTAACCTGAGTGCCCCATCGGGCAGTGGTGATGTGCCTTTTGCAGTCTAAGTGAGCCTTGTGCTCTGTGCTGCTCACAGCTTTTCAAGAAAGAGATTCCCTTCACATTATAACAAAGTCTCAAATGTTTACCTTGACCTACAGGAGCCTTCCAGAGATGATCCCTCACCATTTACCACTCTTGCCCCCAGCTCATGCCTTTCCTGCCACAGGCTTCATTCCTCCAACGCACCAGGCTCGTGTGCTTCTCCCGCTGTCCAGAATAGCCCTTTCTCCAGATAGCCTGTCATCTTCTCCTCAGAGACCACAGTCCGGGCAGAGATCGCCCTCAGCCTGTATAGCATTCCTTGTCACTCTGTTACCTTACCCTACTTTTTTTCCACACTGTGACGTGTCCTACAGCTTCATTATATTTTTATTGTTTGTCTTCCCCACTAGACTGAGAATTCACGGGGTCAGGAGTTTTGTTTTAATCTTTATACCCCCAATGCTTAGGACATAGTATTACTCAGTCAATTGTTCCTGAATAATGGGGACTCTTGTGCCTTACTCAAAACACAGGAGTTGTTCATTTGATCTTTTTTGTTTTTTGTTTTTTGTTTTTGACAGGCAGAGTGGACAGTGAGAGAGAGACAGAGAGAAAGGTCTTCCTTTGCCGTTGGTTCACCCTCCAATGGCCGCCGCGGCTGGCGCACTGCAGCCGGCACACCGCGCTGGATCCGAAGGCAGGAGCCAGGTGCTTATTCTGGTCTCCCATGGGGTGCAGGGCCCAAGCACTTGGGCCATCCTCCACTGCACTCCCTGGCCACAGCAGAGAGCTGGCCTGGAAGAGGGGCAACCGGGACAGAATCCAGCGCCCCGACCGGGACTAGAACCTAGTGGCTGGCGCCACTAGGCGGAGGATTACCCTAGTGAGCCACGGCGCCGGCCTTCATTCGATCTTAAAGTGATGATGGTTTTATCTTAGCAATAATGTCAGCCTCCATATCAGTTAATTTTCAGTATAACTCACCACAGATAATTTCTTTACCTTGGTATTTGCTTTTTGGTTGTTTTTCTTTGTATTCTTTTAACTTTCATTTTTAAATATTTTTACTAGCTTTTTTTCTTTGCATATAATCCTTTGTAAACCACTTTCTCCATTCTGCAAGAATTTGGGGACTGCCATGCATTTTGTTTCAGTGCTAATACTCCATATTGGTGTGTGCTCTTCTGATTTTTTTTTCTTTTGTCTTCTCAAAATCTTTCATGCAGTTGGTTCCTATTTAAGACTAAACCATCTTTATTAGAAGATTTGCTTTTATTTGCATTTCAGTATTGAGTTTAGAACTTTGGAAATTCTAATGTCATGTACTCAATCCTTGCTGTCTTTCATTATGAATATTCACTGCACAATAAATGTCTTGCTGGTAGCACTCCTTATGTCTTCACCTGATAGTCTCACTGCTCTGCTGGGCAGTGGAGTCCAACATTGTGCTCCTCAGTTGCTTTTCTGCTTGAAGTATTCTAAATGACCCAGTTTTATCTCAGATCCTGGGAGTCAAATAGACAATATTTTACTCTACTGTTTTATTGTGTGAATGGAACTACTTCCATCAAGGACTTCTGCAGGCTAAACAAGGTTAAAAGTAAGACATTTTGGCTTTTATTTTTGAATATTACTGTTGAACTGAAATAAAAACTATCTCTATTTACGAACTACTATGAATTCTATTTTTAGATTGTTAGCCAAATATGAACATTCCTATTTAGATTTCCCTAACATCACCTCTTAGTGATAACTTTGTGCGTAAAATACGTAGAATCTTGCTTGATCCCTGATAGCAGCATTCTCCCGTCATCCTATGGTTGTATCCCATAGCTATGTTGACTGTCTTCAAGATCTAGTATGCCTCCTTCTTGGGATCAGTTTAATCCTGCTTGTTGGATACTTAAAACTTCATGCTTGTATTATTCTGTTCTACTGCCACCAGGTGAATATATCTCACCAATATTTTGATATCATTCTCTTTACTAAGAAGTTTTCAGTGAGTTCTCATTGCCTACAGGAAAAGTTAAGTTAAAATGGCTTAATGTTCAGATGCCAGCACCACAGGCCGGGGCCCTAATCCACTGTGCCACAGCACTGGCTCCTTGTTGAATTCTTTATCTAGTGGAAGGTTAAGCTTGTGATTAAAACATAAATTGAAAGTGTGTCATTGTAAAAATTAATTAAAAGAAAAATAAGGAAGGAGGGTAGAGTGGGAAGTATCATTATGCTGTTAAAACTGTATATATGAGGCCGGCGCCGTAGCTCACTAGGCTAATCCTCCGCTTTGCGGCGCCGGCACACTGGGTTCTAGTCCCGGTCGGGGCGCCGGATTCTGTCCCCAACATTCCAATATGGGATGGAGGCATCCCAAGCAACAGCATAATAAGCTGCACTACAATGTCTTACCTAAACTTACTTTTTAATTTTACTTTTTGGGAACATTTTAAAGTACCCTCATATATACAATAGACAGTTTTAACAGATCATTTTAAAGTGAACCTTGTCTAACCACGGTCGAAAGTCAAGAAATGGAGCATTCCCAGTACTCCCAGAAGTCCACCCCATCCTTCTATAGCCACTCTTACTTCTGCCATTCAAGAGGTGTGATTATCTTTTTGTGGTAATTATATTCTCTTACAGCCACCTGCTCCTCACGTTTAAGTGAATGGAATAGCATAACTTTTCATTTTTAAAAAACATTAAAAATATTTTGGTGTTGAATGTAACTGAAGTTTATTCATTTTCATTGTTGTGTAACATATTTCTTTTTACTGATGAACATTTGTGGTGCTTCTAGGTTAGGACTATTATGAATAAAGCTGTGTGTATGAGTCTTGTGTACAAGTGTCCCTAGTAGAATTGCTGGATCACGGTTCACATTACTTCACTTTTCCTGGAAAAAGCAGTTTTCCAAAAGATGAGTCCAGTTTAGACATCCATCAACAGCATGTGACACTGTCATTGCCTCACATCCTTCGTACCCAGCACTTGGAATTGTCAGACTTACTTTTTTGCCATTTTGGTAGGTGTGTAGTAGTTGGTATCTTATTGTGGTTTTACTTTGCATTTTTCTGATTGCTGATGAAGGTGAGCACCTTTTTGTTTATTAGTCATTTATAGTATTTCTGTGCCTATCTATTATCCTTTCTCTTTGTGTAGAGAACTTTTATTTAAAATGATTGTGTACATTTTTTTACGTATTAAGGATGTTAACCTTTTATCAGCACCTCTCTGGCCCTAAGGCTGTAGCAGATTGGTCTAGAGTCATTCTAAGAGAGGAGGAAATTTTTTTCTCCATACCAATCTCATCTTTTGTAAAAAAGTGTATTAAAAAGCAAAGCTTTTTGGTCAATATGAGTGTGGTAGCAAAAGTTATCAGCATTTTTTTGAGTGGTTGGTGTGTATTAAGTACGTGTTCGCCCTTTGGAATCATGACCAACAAAATTCTTCCATCTGTGGTTTTGTTTTAGAGTCAGTATTAAGAGTTGGATTTAGGGGTAGGTGTTTGACCTGGTGGCTGAGCTGCTGCCTGGGACACTGGCATCCCATATCAAAGTAGAGTGCATGAGATCACGTCTCACTGCTGCTTCCAGTCCAGCTTCTTGCTAATGTAACCCAGGTACAGTTGGTGATGGCTGAAGTGCTTGGGTCCCTGCCACGCACATGGGAGACCTGGATTGAATTCTTGGCACCAAGCCTGGCCCAGGCCCAGGTGTTGACTTTTGGGGAGTAAACCAGAGGATGGAAGAGATTTTTTTTCTCTCCCCCAACTCCATCTATTTACCTCTGTCTCTGCCTTTGAAATAAAATTTTACTAATTATTAGAAGAAAAAGATGCATTTATCCAATTATTTTTTTTTAAAGATTTATGTATTTATTTCAAAGGCTGAGTACAGAGAGGCAGAGAGAAAGAGTTCTTTCTGCTGGTTCACTCCCCAGATGGCCTCAATGGCTGGAGCTGCACTGATCAGAAGCCAGGAGCCAGGAGCTTCCTCTGGGTTTCCCACGTGGGTGCAGGGGTCCAAGGACTTGGGCCATCTTCTGCTTTCCTAGGCCATAGCAGAGAGCTGGACTGGAAATGGAATAGCCGAGACTCAAACCAGCGCCCATATGGAATGCCAGCTGAAAGGCAGTGGCTTTACCTGCTACGCCATAGCGCTAGCCCCCCAGTCATGTTTTGTACCATGGCAACACTGAATAATCATTGACAGGACCTAAATAAAAAGGATTGAGGGAGTCAATAGTCAGTAAGCCTGTGTCTTTGGAATCAAACAGACTTTGGTTTCAGAGTCTGAAAATGTGTGCCTTTGTACATATTACCTACTCTCTGAAGTTATATTTTGTCATCTGCAAAATGGAATAACCTATTGATACCTCTTTCTTTGGTGATCCAGTGAGGTATTTCATACTGGTAAACTGTATAGACATCACCTGGAGAGTTCCCTTCATGAGCACTGACCAAATGTAGAGCCACCTTATCACTCTTTACGCTAATGTTAGGCTTGACTTGTGGGCGATGGGGAAGCAAGAAACTGGAATGATTGCTGTGAGTGCCACCATCACTGTGAAGATGATAGCCATCTTCTATTCAGGACTTTTGGAGTATGGAACAGGAAAGCATGTATGTAACAGGAAGTAAGGGGATAGATACTCCAAAGCATTTAGAGTCCTTTTAAGTGCAGGAACAAAATGTGAAATCTGCTACCTCATCTTCCTTCTATTTCATTATACACCCACGGGAGATATTCTCGGCTTTTCACTTTTTTCTTTTTGCCTTTATAGTGTTGCTTTCTGTTTATATTCCTATTAGTTTGTATCCCTATTACCTCTCTTTTCATTTGATTGTTTTTTCTCTAGCAGCTGTAAAATGAAGATTTTTCTTTTCCTGTGACCATCATTGAAACTAAGAGTTAAGTGTGAGAGCAGTAATATTGAGTTAAGTATCTGCATTGAAGGCAGTGTGATTACTAATTATTACTTTGTACTGTTTTATTAAAGCTTATAGATTTTCAGTGGAAACTTGGTATGGCTGTGAGCTCGGACAGTTGCAGATCTCTTAAGTACCCTTATGTTGCAGTGATGCTGAAAATAGCAGATCATGCTGGCCACGTAAAGAGCAAATCCTTTGAAATGACAATTCCACAGTTTCAGGTTTGTGATTTAACTCATTCTATTTTAGTTCTTTTTTCCTTATCGCTGCTTAAAAAGATACGTGAAATCTTTCTTAAGGGAAAAATCTTAATTGTTTCTATTTGCAAGTTCATATGCTTTAAATTTATTAGTATACACAAAGATGTAGATTTGTGTTCTTTGGGAATTTAATAAATTATTTTCAGTATAATGTTCTGAATTTGTCTTCTGTGACATTTGGTCACTTTAACAGTATGCCTTTGTGTGATTAGGGAATTTTTGTCTTCTGAAACAGAATATTTACTTTGCTTGTAAGTAATTTATGCTTATTCCTTCAGGTTTAAAATGCAATAATGATAAGTTTAATGAAAATTTTCTTTGAATAGCATTGACTAAATTTTCTGACTAGTGTTTACAAGGTAAATATTAGAGCAACTGTACT